ATATCTAAAGTGAGTTTTTATAGACAGCATATACTTGGTTCTTGTTTTTCAATCCAATCTGATTTCACGGTTCGTGAGTTGGAGGCCTGCGTTGGGCTCTGTGCTGACAACTCAGAGCCTGAAGCCTGCTTCATATTCGGTGTCACTTTCTCTCTCTGCCCCTCCCCCCTTCACGCTCTGCCTCTCTCTCTCTGTCTCAAAAATAAACGTCAAAAAAATTAAAAATGGGCACCTGGGTGGCTCAGTCGGTTAAGCTTCCGACATCAGCTCAGGTCATGATCTCACAGTTTATGAGTTTGAGCCCCGCATCGGGCTCTGTGCTGACAGCTCAGAGCCTGGAGCCTGCTTCAGATTCTGTGTCTCCTCTCTCTGCTTGCTCTCTCTCTCTCAAAGATAAATAAACATTTAAAAATAATTAATTCACTAATTAAGTAATTTATTTTTTTTTTATTTTTTTTTCAACGTTTATTTTTGGGACAGAGAGAGACAGAGCATGAACGGGCGAGGGGCAGAGAGAGAGGGAGACACAGAATCGGAAACAGGCTCCAGGCTCTGAGCCATCAGCCCAGAGCCCGACGCGGGGCTCGAACTCACGGACCGTGAGATCGTGACCTGGTTGAAGTCGGACGCTTAACCGACTGCGCCACCCAGGCGCCCCAATTAATTTAAAAAAATAAGACAAATATAGATCATATTTTACTGGGGGTTTCAGAGCAGAGGAATGTCACAATCCCTTTAAATGTAACTTTTACCACTGTGGTTACTCTAAGGGGAAGCAGAGAGACCACCTGGAAGGCCATTGCTGTAATCTGAGACATGATAGCGATTCATTCCAAGGTCATGTTAGATAACGTAGAAGACGGTGTTAGATAGGACATCCAGGCATCTTTTTTGCTTACTTCAAAATCTCAGTTTTTCATGACAGCTCAACTATTTAGATTTAAAGCTACTGCCAACTATTTGATAACATGTTCACACTAAAATACTTTTTTAAAAAGGTAACCAGTGATCTTTATTGACCTCCTAGTTCAGTTTGAAATAATCACAGTAATCCTAGTCACCATCCTTAGACAAGTAGGACTGCTTAAAAAGTGCGTTGTCAGGGGAGGGGGCAGGGATAGGCCAGATGGGGGATGGGCATTAAGGAGGCACTTGTTGGGATGAGCACTGGGTGTCATATGTAAGAGATGAATCACTGGTTTCTATTCCTGAAACCAGTACTACACTGTATGTTAACTTGAATTGAAATACAAATTTTTAAAAAGTACACTGGCAGTATTGTAGGTTTCTTTTTTAATTTCGGATTATCCACACACGTTAATCAAAACTGCTGCACCCGTCCACCTTTTTGGTTGGTGTTTCTTTGTTGGCAAATTATTTGGTCACTTACTGGAAGTTCATCATAATCTATTTTAAAAAAATTTTTTTAACGTTTTTTATTTATTTTTGAGACAGAGAGAGAGAGACAGAGCATGAACGGGGGAGGGGCAGAGAGAGAGGGAGACACAGAGTCAGAAGCAGGCTCCAGGCTCTGAGCCATCAGCCCAGAGCCCGACGCGGGGCTCGAACTCACGGACCACGAAATCGTGACCTGAGCTGAAGTCAGACGCTTAACTGACTGAACCACCCAGGCGCCCCCATCATAATCTATTTAAAGAATATCAACTGGGGCACCTGGGTGGCTCCGTTGGTTGAACATCCGACTTCAGCTCAGGTTGTGATCTTGCAGTTTGTGGGTTTGAGCCCCCCATTGGGCTCGCTGCTATCAGCTTGAGACTGTCAGCATAGAGCCCACTTTGGATCCTCTGTCCTCCTCTCTCTCTGCCCCTCTCCTGCTTGTGCTCGCTCTCTCTCTCTCTCTCTCTCTCTCTCAAAAAATAAATAAAACTTAAAAAAAAAAAAAACATTGACCTGCACACTTTAAATGCATGGACTTTTAAAAAAAATAAAGAGTATCAACCAAGTTGGGGCGCCTGGCTGGCTCAGTCGGTAGAGCACGTGACTCTTTATCTCAGGGTCCTGACTGAGTTCAAGCCCCACATTCAGTGTAGAGCTTACTTTAAAAAAAAAATCAACCAAGTTACATGCCTGGGTAATTCCAGCAAAACTGTGTTCCTGAATCCTAGATTATGTTCTCTTTACAGAATACAGGAACTTTCAGTAATAAATGTTCGACTTTAAAAAATGTATCTACTGTATTTTCTTGTAGTGATCCTGAATAAAAGCATAATCTGTTCCACCTTAACTCAAACTTTCCACTCTCTGAAAAACTGAAAACCCTACTTTTATCATCAGCTTTTTCTTTGTTGCATGCCTTTGACTTGTGGGAAAAAAAAAAAAAAACCTGGTAAGTTGTCCTGTAGTATGCATGGGTTTGTTTCATATGTTCCTCTCGAGTTCTTATAGATCAGAAGTCAGAGAAAAGCCTTCTTAAACTCAGGTTTAGTTCCATTTTTGGCAAGACTGTTTCACAGATGGTACTATTTCCTGTAGCATTCAATGAGAAGGCATATCATGTCTGGTTGTTGAACTTGTAGCTGATTCATCAATAGGTTCAGGTGGTGATGGCCTTAGCTTGTCATCATAGAGTTTCCTGTCCATCTTCCCTGTGGGATGCTAAAACCACTGATGATTATCACCTGGACCCAATTTTAATTAGGAGTTATGAAATGATCATTTTCTTTTTTTTTAATTTTTTTTTTTTAATTTTTTTTTTCAACGTTTATTTATTTTTGGGACAGAGAGAGACAGAGCATGAACGGGGGAGGGGCAGAGAGAGAGGGAGACACAGAATCGGAAATAGGCTCCAGGCTCCGAGCCATCAGCCCAGAGCCCGACGCGGGGCTCGAACTCACGGACCGCGAGATCGTGACCTGGCTGAAGTCGGACGCTTAACCGACTGCGCCACCCAGGCGCCCCTTTTTTAATTTTTTTAATGTTTGTTTATTTTTGAGAGAGAGAGAGAGAGAGAGAGAGAGAGGGTGGGGGAGGAGCAGAGAGAGAGGGAGACACCAAATCGGAAGCAGGCTCCCGGTTCTGAGCTGTCATCACAGAGCTCGACGCGGGGCTCGAACTCATGAACTGTGAGATCATGACCTGAGCTGAAGTCAGGCGCTCAACCGACTGAGCCCCCCAGGCACCCCCAAAATGATCATTTTCTAACCATGTCACTTCCTCTGCATATATTAATGGATGTTAACAGACCTTCTCGTACGCCGTAGCTGTTTGGTTAACTTGAAATACACTTCGTATCAGAAAAGCAGAATAAAGGGAAAATAATTTAAGCATCCACTTTCAGAGCAGTGAATCGGTACCCTAGCAAGCTACCGTGACGTCCAGTGAACTTTCTCTCTTTTCTCAATATCATTTTGAGCTCCTGACTGTTTCTATATTCAGTATGTTTTAATACAAATTGCAGTCATTATTCCTTCTGTGACAGTGTCCCATCTTTGGCAACTGGGAGCCCCTTCAGGCTGGCTCCGGTGTCCTTTTGGTACAACCGTATTGACCTTTGATAGTCTCCTTGCTTTTCGGTTCAACAAGATATTCCAGGTTAATCGTCTCCATTTCTTGCCCCTGACAGAGAACCATGCGTTTTTCTGAGCAGACGTTCCCCACTTAACCTTCTTTTCTGTGCGTAGCACCTATCTTGATCTATACAGTGTGATGCCGAAAAACCCATACTTTGTCCTCTGTATCTAATCGTGCGGTTTACATTTAGACGTTGTGCCGTTTCTGTGTCCGTTGTTTGCATTCAGTCACAAGCCCAGGGCGCTGTGATCTTTCTCCTTGTTCCTGTGTCTTGTCTTATGGCACATGCCTACGTTCAGCTCAGTATTTCATGGCTTAGTACTTCATTGGTCTCCTTTGCCCCATATTTGTTTAATGGGTGTATGTCCTTTTTTTAAGAAACTTACAATTTTCTGGAGGTTAGGACATATCCAGTACTCAGGAGTTGAAAAGCCACTCTACCAGGGAACATAGTGATAAGTGAATAAATACGAATTGAATCAGAGGACACATTTTGCTTGGCTAACTCATGGCCACCTTGGCCCATAATTTGATACCAGTAGTTCCAGTGCTGCATTTAAATCCAAGCCAAACTGCATCATAAATCTTGACGCTAGAACTTAAAGTGCAGGTGATTTCAAAGTATTCAAATGAACGCAAGGGCAAGGAGGCACAACTGCTCTGTTCACGGAATGAAAACTGGGAGTCTTTGGTTCTAGAAAAGCACTTTCAGGTGGTCATTCCTTTTTTGTTGCCTGGCCTCAATTCCTACTTGGCCTAGAGTCATTTATTGGTGGCCCACGACGTGGCCGGTAAGTAGGAGCGTTGGAAGCCAGGCCGGCTGCCTGGCAAAGCCGACTTGTGGGGACTTGGATTGCTTTTGATCATATTTGTCATCAACCCTTTTGTGTGCTGCTAAAAGAGTGGGCTTTTTGTGGTTTTCATAGAAGAATGAAAACCAGAAAGGCCAGACTACCTACAGCACTTAAAAATGTGACCCTGGTCCTGTAAGAGCACCGAAGCTACCCATCGTGTGATGAGACCCTGTCAGTTTGCCTTATGATTACAGTTGGAAGAAGTAGCTGAAGTGATATGGCCCCTCTGTCTACTTCCTTCTTCCTCTTCTCTTACCCCCAAGGAAGAGGCTGGGGAGTCTTCAGAATAGAAAGAAGAAAAAGATTCATTTTAGGGGTGCCCGGGTGGCTCAGTCGGTTAAGCATCTGACTCTTGGTGTCGGCTCAGGTCACGATCTCACGGTTTGTGAGATTGAGCCCCACCTCGGGCTCCCGCTGAGCACTGAGCGTGGAGCCTGCTTGGGATTCTCTCTCTCCCTCTTTGTCTGCCCCTCCCGTTTGCAGGTGTGTGTGTGTGTGTGTGTGTGTGTGTGTGTGCGTGCGTGCGTGTGTTCTCTCTCCCTCAAATAAATAAACTTAAAAAAATAAATAGATTTGTATTCCTGTTCAGACAACACGTCTTGGGTTTTCTTCTAGGTCCTGTTATTGCCTTGGAGTTCAGTGGAGATGGTGCTGTAGAAGGGTGTCACCTTATTGTCAACGAGATATTCAACGGGACCAAGGTACAAGATTTTATTGACTGTTTCTTTTTTTTTTTCCTTTATTTATTTTTGAGAGAGAGACAGAGTGTGAGCAGGGGAGGAGCAGAGACAGAGAGGGAGACACAGAATCCGAAGGAAGTTCCAGGCCCCAAGCTGTCAGCACAGAGCCCGACGTGGGGCTCAAACTCACGAACCACGAGATCATGACCTGAGCCAAAGTCGGACGCTCAACCGACTGAGCCACCCAGGCGCCCCTTTATTGACTGTTTCTATTTCAGTCACACCTTTCATTTCATTTCCTTTTCCTCATGGTCAAATAGTGCTTTTTTTTTTAAATGCCTGTTGTTGCTTGGAATTAAAAAAAAAAAAAACGGCAGATCATGATTTTTTAGACTCTGTGGTGAATAATTGGGAGCCAAGCTTTGGCTGTTCCTTGCCAAATTAAAATTGTAATAGCTTAAAAGTTTACAAAATAAGAATCTACTGATTTCAAGACCTTCAATAATACATGAGTTTCTAATGTAAAAAAATCTCATTAAACGTCTAAGTCCTTCCTTTTTGGAAAACTCGTGATACGCTGAAAAATGTTCCGTTTCTAAGATTATATATACTTTGGACAGATGAGCCTGTTGCTTACTCTTCATTTTGATTTGCTTCAGTAATTCTCCATCAAACATTGAATCTCAGCTATATCTAGAAATCATTACGGGTAGGTAGTTTCTAGATATGTTGATGAGGTTGCTGCAGCTAAGGATTTCAGACTTAGTAACTTAATAGAACTCAAAGACCAAACATATAAGAATATTAAATGAGTGCTGATATAATTATTTTTTAAGAAATATCTGAGATGAAATTTTTGGCTTTGTTGTCTGATCTGGCTTATAGTTTCTTTTTTAAAAAAATTTTTTGGCAGTTTTTTTTTTTAACATTTGTTTATTATTGAGAGACAGTGTGAGCAGGGGAGGGGCAGAGAGAGAGGGAGACACAGAATCCAAAGCAGGCGCCAGGCTCTGAGCTGTCAGCACGGAGCCTGACACGGGGCTCGAACTCACAAACCGTGAGATCATGACCTGAGCTGAAGTCGGATGCTTGACCGACTGAGCCACCCAGGCGCCCCCATGGCATATAGTTTCTTGAACTTGCATAATTTATTTTTTTTAATTTTTTTTTTTCAACGTTTATTTATTTTTGGGACAGAGAGAGACAGAGCATGAACGGGGGAGGAGCAGAGAGAGAGGGAGACACAGAATCAGAAACAGGCTCCAGGCTCCGAGCCATCAGCCCAGAGCCTGACGCGGGGCTCGAACTCATGGACTGCGAGATCGTGACCTGGCTGAAGTCGGACGCTTAACCGACTGCGCCACCCAGGCGCCCCGAACTTGCATAATTTAAAGAACATTGTCTTTTGTCTCATTTTATCACCACGACAGTCCTAAGGGGAAGGGTAGATGTAATAGGGTTGAATAGAAGAAAATGGAGAAAGTGGTTATATGATTTGGAGGTTTTAGATCTGAACGAGGCAGAGATAATCTAATCCAACGTTCCCATTTTACAGGTGTAGAACGTGAGCGCAGAGAGGTTTCTTGAATTGTCAGCCTCATACAGCTAGTCTATGAGAAGGCTAGACTAGAACCCAGGTCTCCTCTAATTCCTGGCTGACATTTGTAAAACCGAGTTTTGAAGGGTTCTACTGAGTACTGCTCTACTGATGTTTAGAAAATATGTTATTCAAAATTAGTAATATATCTTTAGCAGCTTTCAGAAAGATAATCTCAAGTTTTGCTCTTTAGCGTGTTGAATTTGTTCTCAGGAAAGAGAAGAGACTAAGAGTTCTTTAAATAGGGGCGCCTGGGCGGCTCAGTTGGTTGTAAGACCAGCTCTTGATTTCAGCTCAGATCATGGTCTCACGGTTCGTGGGGTCAAGCCCTGCATCGGGCTCCGTGCTGACAGCATGGAGCCTGCTCGGGACTCTCTCCCTCTATCTCTCTGCCCCTCCCTTGGTCATGCACATGAGGGCGTGTGCGCGCACACCGTCTCTCTCTCTCTCTCTCTCTCTCTTTCTCGATGCTCCTCCCCCGCTCCCGCTCTTTCAAAATAAATGAACATTTTTTTAAAAAAGTTCTTTAAGCCTCTTTATTCAGTGGCTTTCATAACATTGACTGTTGGATATTTACAAAACAGTAACATCCCAAGAGTTGATAAAGTACAACCGAAGTATTATGAAAGCAAAGACCTTAATTATACCGTAAAATGCTTTTAAAAGAGTTCAGTGTGCATTATAGCTACTGAAACTATGTTCTATGGATTCTACAGAATACTGGTTAAATATTATAGATGATGTACTTGAATTTCTTTTAATAGCAAGCTTGTTCTGCAGATGACGTGGGCTTTGGAATTTGGGGATTACTGGTATTTATTTTTTTGCTTCTTTTGTATTTAAAATAGATGTTTGTATCCGAAAGCAAGGAGACAGCGTCTGGAGACGTAGACAGCTTCTACAACTTTGCTGACATACAAATGGGAATATGAAGTGCAACATGGAACCAAGGACTTGATATTAAGCCCTTTTTAAATTGTGTGTTAGCGGTTTTTACTAATGTTAAAACTGTCAAAGCGTATTTTTAAATAAACTGTTGAATACTGCATTATTTACTTCAGGTTCGAAAACAGTTCGTTTTGGGGGCGCCTGGCTGGCTCAGTCGGTAGAGCGTGCGGGTCTTGATCTCAGGGTCGCGAGTTCAAACCCCGCACTGGGCGTGGAGCCTACTAAAAATAACAACAACAACAGCAAGTTCATTTTAAGTTAAGTAGTTTTCATCAGCTTAAAAACTACTTGGCCCACTTCAATAAGCTTGCAGTTTTGTTTCTCTGCTGAGGATACTGTCATTAGGACATAGAAGTGGCTAGCAGTTCATCATTTTAATCCTAATTAGATATTATTTCAAATCCCTAAGAATTTAAACTTTCCTCAGTGCTCCATACTATCGTTTGAGAATACATTCCATTGCTTCTTTTCTTCTTTAATTTAGAGAGATTTGTTACTAGCTGATCGATTAGAATGAACCTCTGCACATTTATTTTCACGTATTCATATTCGGTTAAATAATTGCTTCCTAGTTGCATAATACGGCAAATGAGATTTTGTACGCGGAATTGAGATAATGCTTTGTAAATTGAATTTTTTTTAACAAATAGGTATTTGATGACCAGTTTTGCAATTAACTCTACTAACTGATGTTGGTATAGCTGTTTAAAGACTACTTCGTGAGTAGTATGATTATCTGAATAAATTCCACGCCGTGTCGTTTTTTTACTACAACTGCTAGATACCCTCTTCTGCTTCTTGGTGAGAAAAGGTATATGCAACACTAAAAGCACAGGAACCCCGTCACCGGCAGTTTTCAGAAAGGCGAAATCACCTGCTTGTGTGGGTTATCAGAAGGAGGAGAACGAAACCTTGTGACATTCAGGTACGAAATGCTTAGTCACGATGAAAAGCTATGCAGGTTATTAAAAAACTAGACCAATTTGGTGGCCAGTAGATACACCGCTCACCAAGTTCTGTTCACGTATGACGAAATTCCTTCGACTGCTTTAAAGCACTGTTTTCCAAATCAACCTGACCGTAATAATTTCCCAGGGGGTAGGGGAGAGCTGCGGGTTTAAAAACCCACGTTCCTGGGCCCAGTCCCCAGATACACCGATTTAGTCTCCGGGGGAAACCTGGCGGTGAGGAGTTTGCCGTAATCTGAAGTGATCAGTTCAGAAGATGTTGATGGGGTGACCTGAAGAGAAGGGGCTGAGCCTGCCATGCACACCACATTTATTTAGCAGCTAATAGGAAATTAGCTTCCATAGCTCTATTTTTAAAAGGAACCTTAAATTTAAATCTATTTTGGTAAACCAAGACTGAACATAGCCACTTATTAAAAATGCCTCTTATGATTGTTACTAAAAATGTACTTTCGTGTGTTAACTGCTTTTGGATACTTGCAGATTAATTTATAACTACTACATTGAACTGTGTGTGGATGTTCAGAAATAACGCAAAGACTTTTCACTTTAATAATATTGAGGGGCGCCTGGGTGGCTCAGTCAGTTGAGCGACCGACTTCGGCTCGGGTCACGATCTCCCGGTTTGTGAGTTCGAGCCCCGCGTCGGGCTCTGTGCTGACGGCTAGGAGTCCGGAGCCTGCTTCGGATTCTGTGTCTCCCTCGCTCTCTGCCCCTCCCCCACTCATGCTCTGTCTCTCTCTGTCTCAGAAATAACTAAACATTAACAAATTTTTTTTAATTAATAATATTGACCACCTCCCCTATGTCTGGCCTTGTGGTAGCCATAGCATTGTGTCATTTTGGTCTTTTGTAAGAGCATTCTATACTACCTACTCAACCTCTCCTTAAATCCGAATGATTTCATAAGATGCAAATAAGAATTGGTGACGGGTTTAACATCATTTCGCTCATAATTCACAAATAAGCTTTGCAATTAGTGGTCAGAGGGCATTAACTTTTCCCGTAGTTAGGCCAAATTAATTGTATTCCTTCTGATCATTAATTAAATGGCGAGCATTATTCAACCCCATTACTCACACTTTAAAATGATTGCAGTACTTTTTGTTTTTCAAAAATATAATCCAGAAAGATTCTTTTGTAGTCCATAAGCGTGATGATTAGGCATTCATGCCGCTGTGTGACATGTGCCTGCCTCCAATCCTGCTATGACCTCGGCACATTACCCATGTGACGTGAAAAAAAAAAATCACACAATGTTACGCAAAGCTGTAAGCTGAGTTCTTTATTTTATCTATGGCATTTTGGCAAAAAAAAAAAAAAAAAACAAACCCTCAGGAATATAACATGTAAGGGAGATGTGAATTTTAAAATATCCACTAAATTTAGGATCTATTAACCAAAGCCTAAAATTTTATATTCTTCAGTTGGATGAGAGCTTTTACCTAAGTAAGCTTCATTTGCCTTTAAGGACAGTCATTTGACTTCTGAATGTTTGAAAAGGTTTTTAAAAATAAGTCGTGCTACGGTTGTTCTTTCTATAATTCTAAACTCTGATGGTAATTATCCTACATTTAATTTGTGAATAGGTTTTGAATTCATGAACATTTATTAGCAATGAAAAATTTGTAATTTTATTAAGTTATACATGTTTAAACGTTATATTAGCTCATTTCTCTTGTGTGATCAGTACTGCCGTTTTGGCTTCTGCATATTTCTGCCTAGCTTTTGTATGTAATTTATGCCTAGTGTTTATAAAATGTGATTTGTAATAAATGTTGTTAAAAGGAAAATGGCCTGGCTGGCTCAGTCGGTAGAGTGTGCAACTCTTGATCTCAGGGTCGTGAGTACAAGCCCCACGTCCGGGGGGTAGCGTTTACTTTTTTAAAAATTTTTTAAATGAAAATGCCTTAACACTAATTTTTCAAGTGCACTTCTAGAACATACATTTACTTGTATGTGTGCCAAGATGTGACCGTGGCACATATTTTTTTAATGATAAAGGTAAAATAGACTGGTCTAATCTCTGTCTAATGCTAATGAGAAACAAGCTGTGTGCCGTGTGTGTGTGTGTGTGTGTGTGTGTGTGTGTGTGTGTGTGTGTACACAAAGCACTCTAGAGAAATGCAAAGGAAGCAGAAAACTCGTTTTAATCTCAGGGATTCCCAATATAATGTTTCCTTTGTTAAAAGATACATTTTCTTATGATTCAATATCTACTAAGATTAGGCATTTCTCTCTTTCATATTTAAGAAAATAATGAATTGTTTGTGATATAATTTCTTTCAGGTTTATACAAATGGACCTTATTTTTAAATTACTACCAGATTGGGGTGCCTGGGTGGTTCAGTCGGTTAAGCATCCGACTTTGGCTCAGGTCATGACCTCATGGCTCGTGAGTTCGAGCCCCGCGTCAGGCTCTGTGCTGATGCCTTGGAGCCTGGAGCCTGGAGCCTGTTTCCGATTCTGTGTCTCCTTCTCTCTCTGCCCCTCCCCTACTCATGCTCTGTCTCTCTCTGTCTCAAAAATAAATAAACATTAAAAAAATTACTACCAGATTTACTAGCTTTTTGTACTCAACCTCTCCCCCCTCCCCCTGCCCCCGAGCCCATAAAGTACTGAAACTGTAGATTGGTTAGTTTTTAAAATAACATTTTTTTCTATGTATGAAGTTTCTCCATGTGCATTTAAAACATGGGGGGGGGGGGGAGACAGAAATGTACAAGACAATAGAAAAATTCCTTCCTATTTATTGGATAATTCTCGCTGCGTGGAGTTTAGATCTTATTTTTCTCATTTAAAAGGGACATATTTAGGGGCGCCTGAGTGGCTCAGTTGGTTAAGCGTCTGACTTCAGCTTGGGTCATGATGGCACTGTTGGTGAGTTCAAGCCCCACATCAGGCTCTGTGCTGACAGCTCAGAGGCTGGAGACTGCTTCGGATTCTGTGTGCGTGTGTGTGTGTGTGTGTGTGTGTGTGTGTGTGTCTGCCCCTCCTCCACTCATGCTCTATCTCTCTCTCTCAAAAGTAAGCATTAAAAAATTTTTTTTTAAAAAAGGGACGTATTTAACTGTGTTCCCTATAGGAAGAAACGATACTGTCATTAGGGTATGATTACTCCTTCAAAATCCATTCTAGAAACTAATTTATCCTTTAAAAGCATAACACTAAAAAATTTGAATTTTAGTAATGAAAACCTTTTTGTTCTAAAAATGGAGTCGGGGTGCCTGAGTGGCTCAGTCGGTTAAGTGTCCGACTTCGGCTCAGGTCATGATCTCACGGTCCGTGAGTTCGAGCCCCACGTCGGGCTCTGTGCTGACAGCTCAGAGACTGGAGCCTGTTTCAGATTCTCTCTCTCTCTCTCTCTCTGACCCTCCCCCGTTCATGCTCTGCCTCTCTCTGTCTCAAAAATAAATCAACGTTAAAAAAAAATTTAAAAAAAAAAAGTAAAAATGGAGTCATTCACTGTTGACTTGGGTTTTCCTCTCTGGTAGATCGTGTTGGAGGGGTTGGCAATCAGTCTTACACAGTAAGCCTTTAAACTACGTACTTCTCTCTTGACATTTTGGCTTTTTGTGGCAAACTCCAGCAAGATGATCAGAAAAGCAATCTCTTCCTTTTCCAGTGTTTGGGGGCTTTCCTGGTGAGGGCAGGTGCTCACGTATAAGTAGGTGGCGAGGGGGGCAGGAGCACAGGTCGGCGAAGTCCCAGCCTTGGCACTTGGGTTCTGATCCCCCCCCCCCTCCCGCCCAGTGGGGTCCTGCCTTCCCCACTGAAGTTTAATGTGGTGCACTTGTAATCATACTACTGAGAGGTAGCCGGCAAGTGGTATGACAAGTAATTAAATGATGTTCATAAAGTGTACCTGGGAAAGAAAACATACTTTATGAATGGTAAGTATTCATAAAGCGAGAATGGTGTTCTTTTCAAGTAGTTCAGCTGGGTAGCCATACACCCACCTACAAATGAGCGACTGAATAGGAGAAAACATGTATAAGAGGCTGTGAAGACTTAAGTGCTGTTTTGTTTTTTCCTTTGCTTTTTTCTCTTTTTTTTTAATTTGTTTTTTTTTTTTTTTAATTTTTGAGAGAGAGAGAGCATGAGCTGCGAAGGGTCAGAAAGAGAGGGAGACACTGAATCCGAAGCAGGCTCCAGGCTCCGAGCTGTCAGCACAGAGCCTGACGTGGGGCTCGAACCCACCGACCACGAGATCATGACCTGAGCTGAAGTCCGACACCCAACTGACTGAGCCACCCAGGCCCCCCTCTTTTTTTTTTTTTAACATTTATTGTTGAGAGAGAGAGACAGAGTTCGAGCAGGGGAGGGGCAGAGTGAGAGGGAGACACAGAATCCAAATCAGGCTCCAGGCTCTGAGCTGTCAGCACAGAGCCCGATGTGCCAGGCTTGAACCCACGAACCGCGAGATCATGATCCAGAGTTGGATGCGTAACAGACTGAGCCACCCAGGCGCCCCCTAAGTGCTGTTTTCTTATGGTTGACGTACTTACACTTGTCAAATGTAGGTCAATTTGTGAGGCTCATTAATAAAACCTTTTGGGGCGCCTGGGTGACTCAGTTAAGCAGCCAACTCTTGATTTTGGCTCAGGTCATGATCTCACGGTTGCGAGATCGAGCCCCGTGTCGGGCTCCTCACTGACAGCGCGGAGCCTTTTCAGTATTCTCTCTCCCTCTCTCTCTCCCCCTCCTCTGCTCGTGCTCTCTCTCAAGATAAATAACCAAAACACACGCACACACACGCACACACACGCACACACACACAAACAAAAAACCTTTTATAGCTGTCCC